TAAAGTCGTACCTCCCTCGTAGCTAACACGTAATAAGCTCGTATAGGTCCTTTCCAAAGATCACGAGTTTTAACTCGTAGAAATCGTACGACTCTTAGGTGAAATAAACCTAGGTGGGAGAGCAGCTTTAAGCTTGGTAGGAGCACCCGAGTACTCTACGAGCTACCTATGAGTTCTTCGAGTTTACTACGAGTTATCTACTCGTGGCGATAATTTTGAACATGTTCAAAATTAGCGCCACGAGTTCAGAGCTGCTACGAGTAGGTAAGAGTCCTCTCCGAGCTTTCCGAATCGTCCTACGAGTTTTTGCCGAGTTTGCCGAGTTAGCCACTCGGCATTCTCTTGTTACTCGTATACTGAAAAAAACCCTAGTGGGAGAGGGGCTTTAAGCCCCTCTCCCACTAGGGTTTTTAAGTCAATCAGTTATTTAGTACAGTATATTCTGCATTACACATCTGCATTAAGTAGCTATAGACCTATACAACTATTAAATGTTCATAATGTTTTAACCAAATATATAATATACATCTATTGACGAACACTCAAAGTCCACAAACTGGTGAAACGTTCGCCGATAGCATTTCGTAGTTCGTGGATTCTGAAACCATACACTATAGGGTTAGCAATAGAATAAGCTAAAGCAAGATTGAAGCTAATAATAAATATATGAGTGTAAGCATTTTTGTTACAGTCAATTTTTCCAAAGTGTTCTAAGATGGTGAGTGTAATGATAGGCATCCAACAAACAGTGCAAGTGACGCAGATGATCAAAAACGTCTTGAGCAGCTTTTTCGAGATGTTGATTTCCTGCGTTCTGTGATCGCTTACCTTCTTCTCGTGATTTTTCACAGACCAGTATATCAACGCATATGACACATACACATTAACCAAGATGACCACGTCCCAGACTGACATTATAAATCCAAGTTCGTCATGTTTATGTGCAATAAGTAAAACTGATGAGAAAGAGATAGTGAATCCCCAGATACAGAAGCAAACAAGTAACATTTTCTTTGGCGTGTTTATGCGCCTAAAAGGAAAAATAACGATTACCAGAAGTCTCTCTATAGCAACAACACCAATCGTTTGAATTGAGATGATAGCGAAAGTTAAGCAGGCAGTGAACGTGTAAAGGAAGACCTCATCTCTTCCTGGTTTGGAAATTGAAACCAATACAATGACAGCAACCGAAAAGAAACTATCAGAGAGCGCCAACGAACCGGTAAAAACGTTATTTCCCTTCTTCCGCAATGTCTTATCCGACACAATAATAACGAATATACTAAAGTTCAATGCAATTGATAATATACAGCTAATGTAGGCTAAAATTGCAGTGTAGTTGCATTTATTTTCGGATATTAGTTGAATCAAAAAGCGTTCAAGCAACGAAGTATTGCAACCGTTGGTGCCGAATTCTAGTGAAATGTTTGCCGTTTCTTCTTTCTTAAGTTCAACCTCTGCCATAGCTGACACTAATACCATTGACGAGAAGTACAGGCTTACGTATCCCAACCAGCGCATTGAAGATAAATGTAGTTAATCAGCTTGATAGAATAAATGTTTACTAAGCAAGCGTACGACTAGAAATGCAGGCAGAATACTGTAAAACTTCAAAGCTAAAAATGTTGATCATTAGACAAAATACAAATCTAATCTAATGAATACCTGAGACTTAGCTTTATGTTGACGGACAGTCCACAGTCATATGCTCAGTAGGCGTATTACAAGGAGTAACAATATGGTAGTTGTTAATCCAGCCGTCTCATCGTCGGCAATTGGTGCAGCATGGTTTCCTTAAAATCGGTAGACTGTGGCGACAGTGTTTTCAGTACAATTGACGCAATCGCGAAGGCGTCTCCCACCTCCCAATCAATGGCGTAGCTAGAGGTTTTGGCGCCAATGATGGCGCCAGAAGGGGTTGGGGGCTATAGCCCCCTCTCAGGGAAGCATATCCCCCCCCCCCCCCACCGTCGGGGAAGACGATAACTTTTGTCGGGGAACAAACAACTAAAAAAAATATTTACATGTAATATTCGTTTAGCCACCATATTGTTTGTGTTAACCATCACAACAACAAATAATAATAACAATAATAATAATAATAATAATAATAATAATAATAATAATAATAATAATAATAATAATAATAATTCAATGAGACTAATTAATAATAATTTGCATTCTGTTATGACAAATGCTCATTTAGATAGCCTCATGATGGTTGGAATACATCGTGATAGGTGAAGCAACCTCGACCATGAGAGCGTGGTTGACAGATTTCATGTAAAATTTCCAAAATATAGAATTCACTTTCAAGAATGAGGATTTCAAAATAAATTAGATGGTTATATTGCATACTCTTTGTTTCTTGCTTTATTTAAAATGTTTTGATTTTGGAAGCTGATTTCAACATTACAAAGCATAGCCTACATGAAGTCATGTTATAGTAACTCGATGCCTATCAAATAAGTAATAAAAATTCGCCATAATTCATCAAATATCCGTGGATCCAGGGGGCGAAGCCCCCTGAACCCCCACCGAGGACCTCTGGCCACACTGGACCCCTGGCCCCAGTCAAGTGAGACTCGATTCGCTCCACTAGCCCCCTCCCGTCGGGGCCTTTAGCCCCTCCGTCGGGCAGGTCCTGGCGCCACCACTGTTTGGCGCTCGGGGGAAGGAGCAAAAAATTGCGCCCCTCCACCTGCCCCTGTATACCACTTGGCTTTATAGCTTAGTTGATGAGTATCAGAACGGGAATTGGTTTTTGGGTTCATACGAATGGGGCACACGTTTTTCTCAAATATTTATTATCGTCTTTAATCCCCAATGCAAAAGTTACAATCATGTGATTTAATGTTATTTATTGCGTACTACGCAATACCTTGAAAAAAAAAAAAAACTTGTCCTAATGGAAACATTTTAGGGTGCTGAGTTTGTTGAGTATCCAAACTGTAATCGGAAGGTCTTAGTTAGGAATCCCGATGGGGACT